TGCAGTCAGCTTGCCAGACAGTGTCCAGGGTTCCTGTACACAGGCACTGCTCCACTCCTCTGCCTGCTTTGAGTCAGCCCAGGTGAGTCCCAAAATTTCCATAGCTCCTCTGTTTTGTTTTTGTTTTTTATGGCACCAAGGATTGAACTCAGGGCCTTTGCAGGGCCTTGAGCTACATCCCCAGCACTTTTTCTATGTTTTATTTTGAGACAGGATCTTGCTAAATTGCCCAGACTGGGCTCAAACATGTGATCCTCCTGCCTCTAGAGTGCTGAGATTATAGGTGTGCACCACCATATCCGGCTACAAGAGACTCATCAGGACCCTTGACAAGGCCAAGGTTGGGGAGGATTAACCATGTGGATTCCTTGAGCCCCCCGCCCATTCCTCTCATGTTTTAGTGGTTTGAGTTCTGGGCTGGAGCCAGAGCTGGGGAGGGGAGGGTACCAGCCTCAACTTCTCACTGGCCTTGCTGTGCCTCAATTTCCCCATTTGTTGAGTGGACAAGATACACTCGTCTGTCAGGGCCATGACCAGACCTTGGCAGAGTCTGGTGTCCAGCTGGGCAGCCTCCATGGCTCATGGATGTGAGCCCTAGAGCTCCAGAGGCCTAGGGTCACCAGGGGAGGGACGTGTGCAGAGCCCAGGGGTCTGGGACCATGTGATCCAGTGCATCCTCAGGCCAGGCCTCCCGTGCTGTCCGGGATGCTGAATGCTGGTGCATGCCATACAAACATGTCAAGATCCTGGCAGGCCTGGCAGGCCACTCAGCCAGTGCCCCATGTGTGACACAGGTACACATTGCCCCTGAGGCCAGAGATCCCGGGGGCAGTGAAAGGCGCTTGAGGGTCTGAACATGAGAACCAGTCCCAAGGGGCTCTACACAGTCAGCCTTGTGAACTGAGTTCCAGACGCAGGCTGGCTTGGGACTGGCTCAGGGGAAACATGGCATGTTTCCCTCAGGAGGGAAAGGAAAGCCCCTCCTCCTCCTCTTCTTCCTCCTGCTCCTTTTCTTCTTCCTCCTCTTCCTTCTCCGTCACAGCTAACATTTAATAGGTTCCTAGGGCCCAGCACAGGGCTAATCCCTCCAACACCAATGTGATGGTTATGTCATTGTCCCTTTCCAGGCCAGTGGCTGAAGATCATCCAACCAGTGGGAGGCAGAGGCTGCACCCCAAGGTGAGTCTGGAGGGCAAAGCTTGATCTTAACCATCAGACCACGCTGCCAGCTGGGAGGGGAAATGTGGACTCCAACACTGTCCCATGCTGCTTGCCCTGATCCTTTTCCTTTAGGGTCTGTCGTCTCAAGCAAGTCCCTCCTCCCATTCGTTTTCTCACCTGCAGGAAGGGGACGTTTGGAGGGAGAGGAGTGGAAAGACTTAACTCATGAACTGAGTTTAGTTGTGGGTGGGAGGCAGCAATTCAAGCCCAGGCCCTGGGAAGAAGGGGCCTGGGGCCGCTCCTTGCTAAGCTGAATGGGTACTTTTTTTCTTTTTCAGTACTGGGTATTGAGCCCACAAGTGCTGTATCACTGTGCTACATCCTCAGCTCTTTTCTATTTTTTATCTTGAGACAGGGTCTTCCTAAGTTGCCCAGTCTGGGCTTGAATTTGGGATATTCCTGCCTCAGCCTCCCAGAATTCTGGGATTACTGCTGTGTACCATTCCATCCAGCCCAAGTGGGAAATTTTAAGCCTCAGAGCTATCATAGATTTTCCTAAAACAAGCCAATACAAAAGATTGTTGAGGGTTGGGGATTTAGCTCAGTGACACTGTGCCTGCCTTGAAAGGGCAAGGTCCTGAGTTTGATTCCCCCCCGCAAAAAAGATTGTTGACTTCCTTTGGAAAAATACTACAACGGAGATTCCCTGCACCGACAGTTTAACTTAGCAAGTTTGCTCTGTTCTACAGACCCCAGGGCTCCCCTGTACCTGTAGCTGGAACCCATGAGGAAACTCCAGGCCATTAATTGGAACCATGTGTCCTTCCAGTGAACAGCAGGTGGCTGAGCTGGCTTAGAAAGAGATGCTCATTAGAGTAGTACGTGTCCTTTGACTCCTTCATCTGACTTCTGGGAATCTGTCCTAGAGAAACAACCCCAAATATGGGAAGGCTTATGAACAAATAAATGATCTTTGCAGTATTACTTATAACAGCAGAGAGGCTGGAGTTAACCTGAATATTGGCGGGTGGGGGGGGCATTAACATTTCTCCAACTTGCTGGCATTTTAGGGGCCACTGAAAAGGAAAGGCCACAAGGGCTCTGTAGCAACAGAGAAGCTGTGTAAAGAAATCACATTTCAAAATTATGGACCCTGAGATGAGCCATCTAAGCTATGCACATAAAACACTGGAAATGAATAGACTGAAAGTCTAACTTTGTCTAGAGAATGGGATTATGAGTAATTTGGGGGATTATGGGTAATTTTTGTTTCTATTTTTCTAAATTTTCTGAAATTTGGTTATGGTTAAAAGTGTATTATAAATTTTAAAAAATTAAAAATAAAGAAACAATAGCTCATTTTCCTGGGGCAGAGACAGAACTTCTGATTTGATAAAAACAAGTTCTATAGAACCACTAGGATGGCCCATTGTAGATTTCTTTGTTTTTAATGGAGAAATATAATACATGTTCAGAGTAAAAAAAATGTTAAATGCAGAAAGATATGCAAATACCACTATCCTAATGGGGTTGCCTTTTTATTCCAATGTTTATGTATACTTCCATATTTATGTATACTTTTTAAAAGCCTAGAATGTGTGTAATTTTGAGTTCTGCTTTTATTTTTATTTTTAATTTTTAAATTTTTTAATTTTTGGTACGAGGGATCAAACTCGGGACCTTGCACTTGTGAGGCAGGCGCTGGAAACACTGAGCTAAATCTCCGGCCCCTTTTTATTTTATTTTAGAAACAAAGACTTTGGTTATAACAATCTTCCTGATTACAAATGTAAAGAGTTATACAATATTCCATAGTGGGGATGTATTATATTTACTTAACTATTCCTCTATATCAAACATTAGCTGTTAAGTTTCTATTTATGATTATGTTTCTATTATAAATCTCATGGCAATAAATATGGTTGTACATAATGTACACCATAATGTAGTTGAATATAAGGAATACGTAAAATCTTACAGCTTTCCTTTATATCAGCAATACATTAGAAAACATGATGGAAAAAATATTCCACTCAGAATAGTGATAAAGATATAAAGTGCTTAGAATGACAGAAGTAAAGCTGCAGCTGGGAGCGTGGCTCAGTGCTAGAGGATATGCTTGGTGTGTCCGAGGCCCTGAGTGTTATCCCAGTAAGCATCCAGCGCACGTGCGCGCACACACACACACACACACACACACACAAACACAAACAAGGTGCCCACACAGGGGTGAACCTGGAGGCTATTCTGCTAAGTGAAATAAGGCAGAACTGGAAAGAAAAATACCTCATGATCCCACTTATATATGGGATCTGAAAAAATAAAAATATCAAATATATAGAAACAGAAAAGATGATGGTTTCCAGGGGCAGGGGCCAGGGGAGGAAGTGGGGAGATTTAAGTCAAAGAATACCAAGTTGCAGATAAGCAGCATGAATAGGTCTGGGGATCAAATGTATAACATGAGGACTGTACTTAATGATATTATTCTATATTGAGGATTTTTGCTGCAGAATAGATTTTAGGGGATCTTACCACACACACATAAATGGTAACTGCTGCATACAGTGGCTCGAGCCTGTAATCCTAGCACTTTGAAAGGCTAAGGCAGGAGGATCACAAGTTTGAGCCCAGCCTGGGCAACTTAGTGAGACCCTGTCTCAAAATAAAACTTGCAGCACAATTCTGTGGGAGACTGCCCTATTGATTATGCCCAAAGAGGGCTATAAGCAGTGCAGGCTGTAAAGAGTCAACCTTGCAATTGGCTTGTTTGTAGAAGTGAGTCTGGCCAAAGCCTATGTGCTGAGGTCAGAGTGACTGGTACCCAAAATCTGTTCCCAGAGTTAAAACTCTTTACTAAAAAGACAAGGTTAATTATTAACCACAACCTATATTTTGTTTGTTCTGTTCCTATTTCAAGAATTGTCTTTTCCTTTACAAGCCTTGCCTGCATCAACAACATATACATAGCAACTCCATGTAGTTGTTCCATGTAGCCCCTTTACCTCAGTTTAACTATGATGTCACCAATAAATATCAACAGCTCTGGGTCCTCAGGGCCTTTGCCTATTTAAGCCTTTGACTGCTCAAACACTAGTCATCCTGGCACCCTGTATCTGTCTCTTTAACTCCTTCTCTATGTCTTTCTTCTCGACATGCATTGTAGCACCAAGCAAGAGATCAGAACCCACTGCAGGGGCCTTCGGTACAATTCGTAATAGCTAAAACTTGGAAGCAGCCTGAATGTCTACCAATAGCATAAAGAAAAGGTAATATTTAAACATGGAGTATTATGCTATCATTAAGAAAGATAAACTTGAGTCATTTTTAGGGAAATGGATGCACAAATTGAAAAATTTGAGACCACAATGTTAAATTGAAAAATTGAGACCACAACGTTAAGTGAAATAAATCAATACACAAGCTTAGATATGGCACAGTTTCTCTTACATGAGAAATCCAAGTTATAAATCAATAACAAAATAAAAGATAGATGATAGGAGGTAGGGAGAGAGCTCTTTCTCAAATTGGAAGAGGATCAAATGATGCAAGAGATGGAGGGGCAGGGGAGAGAATGGAGATGTAAAAAAGAGTTAAGATGTGCTATGCACATGCACCAACTCCTCCCCATGAGGGCTGTGATCTTTATGTATTGCAATCATTTACTAATAAAACATTGATAAACTTTAAAGAACAAAAAGAGCTAAGGATATAGCTCAGCGTAAAGACCCTGGGTTCAATCAGTATCGGAAAACAAAAAAGAACCATGTGAGATTTTGAGTATGTTAATTTATTTTTACTAGAGCAGTTATTTCACAAAGTATACATACATTCAAACATCACATTGTACACCTTAAATATTGTAGTCAGGGTTTGCAAGGGAATAAATTTAATACAGGACACATAATTCACGGGATTATTTTATAATTTTCACCCAAAAAGTCAAATGCAGAGGAGTACATGAGATCTAGCTGAGCACCAGGGACCCAAAGAATCCAGCCAAGGGCCTGGATCCCAAAGCAATGTCCCAGACAAGTCCAGCTGAAGGCCTAGAGTCCAAGGCAGTGTCCTCCTCGAGTCCACCTGGAGGCCTAGAGCCCACAGCAGTGTCTCATGCAAATCTGTACTGAGGCTCTGCCCTGGGAAAGCCCAAAGGCCAGTGGTAGAAGCTAGAAAACCTGTGCCAGCAGGGTGAAGGAATTGTGTCACCAGGCTGAGAGATCTGCACTGGAGCCAGGAAGCGATGCTCAAGGCGAAGACCAGAGCTCCTCTGATGAGAAGAGCAGCCATCCTCAGTGACAGCAAGGACCCGAGCTCCTCTGATGAGGAGAACAGCCGAGTTCATATCAGGGAAACCAGCTGTGGCAAGCTTCTCTGAGAAAATCAATAGCAAACGATCTTCCCCTGCAGTTCTCTTTTTATGCTGTTGGCAACAATCCTCAGGTGGGTCTTCCATACCCAGAACCAGGCTGACTCAGTTCAGCTGGGTGTTCCAAGTTGACCATTCATTAATCCACCACAAATATATACAATAAAATAAACAAATAAATTAAAAGTCAGTACTGGGTGCAGTGATGCATACCTATAATCTTAGCTACTCAGGAGGCTGAGGCAGGAAGATGGCAAGCTCAAGGACAGCCTGGGCACCTTAGCAAGAACTTGTCTCAAAATAAAATAAAATTTAAGAAGTTCTGGGGATGTAGCTCAGTGTTTCCTGGGATCAATCCCAGTGCCACACACACACACACACACACACACACACACACACAAAGTGTGAGGTCTATACTTTAAAAAACTAATTGAAAGTGTAAATAAAGATTAAAATGATTAAAATGAATAACTGATACTTTGAAAGAGGAAAAGGTCCAAAGGTGGAGGGGTGGTGGGAGGGGAAGGGGAAAGGAAAGAAGGGAAAGGAAAAATTATGAGAAAAGAAGAAAACGGAAATGAAATCTATGTAAATAGGGAAGGGTGGAGGGGGTGAAGGGCGGACAGGGAATGGGGAAAAGAGTAAGAATCGAGATACATCATGTGCAGGTACAAACACCCAATGATAAATGTAAATGTATTGCATACCTAAAATTTACCAATAAAAGAATTTTAAAAACTGCAAAATTTTAATAAATACATAAAAAAGATCATTTTAATAATTGGGGAGACTATTTTGGCACTGATAAAATCAATGGTTAAAAAAATGCCATTCCAGCCAGATGTCCTTTGATGGTAATGAACAGAAAACTGCTGGCAGCAGGAAGGAGGATTATTGGAAGCCGTTTACACAGCAGGAGTGTCAACCCTGGCTTCATCCTGGAATCCCCTGGGGAGACCTGGTACCCACTCCTGAAGATTCTAATCGCCAGGCACAGACTGGTCATCAGGATTGTTTCAAGCTCCCTGGGTTATTCCAGTGTGCAGTACACACAGTGGCTTGAGACACAGTGGAGGGTTTCATGGAGGCCAGGGGTCTAATGAGCTGGACCTGCTGGTAGGGGCAGAGGTCACCAAGGGCCATGCAACTTAAACACTTCTTCCACGGACTGACACTGTGGTCAGTAAGAATAATTCTCAACCAACAGGAAGTTGTGGGCTGGGCACAAATCTCCAAAGATGCCCCAGCCCCACCCCATGGCTGTCCAGGACCCACATTGTCCCCATTTGTGTCAACTTCTTTTTTTTTTTTTTGGTACCGGGAATCGAACTCGGGTCCTTGCGCTTGCGCAGCAGGAGGCGAGACCACTGAGCTAAATCCCCGGCCCCATTTGTGTCAACTTCTTTTTTTTTTTTTTGGTACCGGGAATCGAACTCGGGTCCTTGCGCTTGCGCAGCAGGAGGCGAGACCACTGAGCTAAATCCCCGGCCCCATTTGTGTCAACTTCTAATTGTTGACCCAGCCCAACTGTCGCTCAACTCCACAGTTTTTAACTTTCTCTCAGCAGAGGTAACCAAAGTCACGATACTGGAAGCAGTGACATTAAGGCCATCATTCTGTGTCTGCTGTCTTTAAGGGCTGAGGGTCCTCATCTATTTCTGTAACCATCCCTGCATCTATAGGGACTCTTAGTTTCAGGCTCTAGAAACCCACCCTGGTTTGGCAGCTCAGAAAATTATCAGGAATACGGCACGCTGGGCCTGGGAGCAGAGCTAAGACAGGGACATCAGGAGTACAGCTAGGGCCCTGGGTCACTGCCACTCAGCCTTGGGTGCCACAGCTTGCTCTGCTGCCTCTGTGGATCCTGGGAAGTCCTCATCCTTCCTGCTGCTGTGAGTGACCAGCAAAATGGCACTGACACCAACCCTGCAGGCTCCTGCTACTGGCTGTCATTACAGAGTCAGGGATACCACACTGGCAGGCTGGCCCTAGTTACAGGCCAGCTCCCCTGCTTTAATGGAAGGTAAAGAGAAGAGACAAGATGTCATCTCTACGTGGGAAGAGAGACAGGGGAAGTCCTTGACATGGGGAAGAAAGACAGATTTCCACCTCCAACAGGAAATATGCCACCTCCTTCCTGAGCACCAGATGTGGCTAACAGATCCAGAAGAAACTCGAATCTGTCCCAAAACAAAGAGAAGCCTAAATAGGACTCAGCCATGGGATGATTTTGCTTCCTACTATTACCACACAAGCACCAATGTTCTTCATTTTCAGATGTTCACCTTTTGGTTCCATCTAACTTGGAGTACCGTATCCCTCCGAAGCCTCAAGTGTCTCCTGGGCTTCACTGCTCTCTGGACCTTTGCTCCTTTGAGTCTTCAAAGCTGAGCACATCACATCAGGAATGGGATTTTAACCTAAAAACAAATGGAAGAGGTGTTTGAACTTGCTTTCAGAGTCTTGTGGTCTATAGAAGCTTCCATTGAAGGTTCCAGAAAGCCCTGGAATGTGGGTTCTTCTCCTCTTTCTTCCTCTCCTGGTTCTAACAGGTCATAGGTCCAGGTCACAGACAGGAAGCTACTTCTTCACCCCTCTCCTTCCAACTGTGTGTGCTTCTCAGGCCATCACGACAAAGTACCAGCAATGGGACAGAGTGAGCAACACAAATGTATTATTGTCTCATAGTGCTGAGGACCAGAAGTCCAAGGTTAAGGTACCATCAGCAGGATTTGCTCCTTCTCAGTGCTCACTCTGTGGTGTGTGAATGCTGACCTCTCCCCATGTCTCCACATGGTCCCCTTCTGTGTACCTGTGTCCCACTCTTCTTAAGGACAGCAGGCCTAACACTACCTCTTTAATGCCCCTGCCTCCAGATACACTTACATCTAGATGGACTGGGATTAGGATGGCAAGACAGGAGTTGAGGAGGGTCACAGGTCAGCTGGGAACACTCATCAATGCTGGTGCCGTGCTTGGCAGGAGCTATGGGGTGAGAAACAGCTCAGGACCCGGTTCTGCCAGGCCTGCATCCTGGCCCTGGACCATTTGAATCTGGCAGGTGCCCTGATGATCCTGTCTCCCTTTCTGTGATCTGGGAGAGGCACCTTCCTTGTGGGCTGCCGAGATCAAAGGCCTGGTTCAGGCCAGGCACTGGGCACAGGGCAACTCACATCCTCAGCCTGAAGCCTAAGGTAGCCTGGTCAGAGAACTGACCACACAGCTGGCTTCTGCCAAACGGTTAAGCTCTCTTCAAACCTTTGGGACAAGCACCACCATCCACAGGCCAACCTGTCTGGGGTGGCCCTGCCCACCTCTCAGACCCTTGTCTGGCCTCCCCTGTCCCCAGCCCATGCTGAACCCAATACTCTTCCTCTGGATCTGGACACCACATGCTCCTGCCTTACCTGGACCAACCCTGAAGCCCTGGACCTGCTTCATTTCTGCTCACTCCTCAGTGCCAGTGTTGGGTCACCTCTTCAGGAAGCCCTCTTTGACTACCTCGTGCTGCTTCCTCAGACCCCAGAGCCTCCTCTTGTCATCGGATGCTATGGGGTTATCCTTGGATGTAGAGGATCCCCAGGAAGGCAAGGGTGACCTACACAGGCCCACTATGGAGTGGCCACCCATGCCACTTACTGTGACAAGGAACATGAGCCTTTCTAGGCACTGCTGTGTGGGGGTCCACATGCCAGGTGGGAGGCTTGAGGTGGGACCAGCTTCAGAGGCTCAAGAGAGCCGGCCGGTGGTCTCAGATGGTGCATGGGTGGGACAGGTAGAATCTGTTTTGGCAGCCCTGGGGAGGCGTGGAAGAGGGGCTGGGAAGGAACCGCAGAGGGTGTGACTGAGGGACCAGTCTTCACAGTGGCAGAGATGTCACATAAGGCTCCTATAGGAAGCTGGGTGTCCTCCCGCACAGTGTGGCTGGCTGCTAGAAAGCAGCTTGCTCATTTGAACTCTCAAGCAGGAAGTGTGTACTCAGGTCCCTGTCCTCAGGGAGCCACCACATTGGTTCTTTTTGTTTTTTGGTTTTTTTTTTTTTGGTACTGGGGATCAAACTCGGGTCCTTGCGCTTGTGAGGCAGGTGGCGACACCACTGAGCTAAATTCCCGGCCCACCACATTGATTCTTAAAAGTCAACACATGAACAAAGAAATAATAAACACGCCGGGGGAGGGGCGGTGTCACAAGGATGTGCATGGCAGGGACTTGGTCAGCACGGTGGGCAGGATACACCTTCTCAGAGGGGCTTTGGCTGAGAATGAAGGCAAGGAAGGAGTCACAGCTCAGACAGACGTCACACAGATGGCCTTGAAGAGGGCTTCAGCATTTGGGGGCATCAGGGAAGGGAGGCAGGGGATTGGGGTCTTTAGAGGTCATGCAAAGGCCAGGGGCAGTGGCCACTGAGCCAGGAGGGTAATGGGCTTGAGGCTGAGATGTGCTGGAGGGGTGCACAGGGGTCAGGGCAGGTGACTGCTCTCAAATGTCCCCTGGTGAATGCCGCACTGCGTGCAAAATTTGCACCCCAGAGGCTGGGCTGCACTGAAGCCTTTCCTCTCCTAACCTGGGGAGAAACAGCCCCAGAGGGCCCGCTAGGAGCTTCCAAACAAACAAAGAGTGATCTGCTGCCTGCCCCTCAGAGATGGGAGAAGCTGGACTGTCACTGTGGGCCGTAATGAATGACTTCCTGCTCAGAGCAGATTCCAAGGGTGTGCGTCATCTCACCCAGGACCTGTCACAGGCTGGGGGCCTTCTGCTCCTGATCCCCCACATGGAGCTCCTCCGAATACCAGTCCCCCACCCCAAGCTGTGAGCAAATGTGCTACTCAGCAAGTCTCTCTCCTCTTACATAAAGACCCAGAAGGAAAATGATCAGAATTCAGCGCCATGCACAGCCCTGTCTCTCCCGATAACACGGTTCACTTTCTTTGGTCAGGAAACAGGAACCATAGAGTGATGATAATTTGATTTTTGCTTTGGTTGCCAAGAAACCTGGGGTTAAGCTTAGGTATTGTAATTATATCACCCTAGGTTTCCTGCACATTTATTGCCATCTCAACTGCTTCCTGAAAATATTAAATGACATTTTAAGAAATTAAAAACAAAAATTTCAGTAATCAAACACAATACCTGCTTTCATTTTTCTTTCTAATCCTTAGCCACATGAATACCGCTTTCACGTAGTTGGAATTACACACTCACTGAGTTTTGTTTTCTCTATTTTCACATGATTTTAGTTCAAAGACACAGTATTTCTTCTGTGACACTCTAGTCAGCCTGTTCAACAACAGTGGTGTGCCATCAAATCACTTAACATTGGTACACCATGAACGAGCTAGTGCTAAACATTACATTACATTTTTTTCTCTAGATTTTCTCTTATGAAAATTCTGCTGTGATAATAAATGAGTAAAAGTTATGAAACACGTCACACAAAGAGAAATACAAATGGCTCATGGTATAGGAGAAATGCTCAGCATCGCTGATGATTAAGGACATACACGGAAGCAAGACTTCATGAAAATGGCCCACACTAAACAATGTTACCCAGGGCTGGAGGAGAGGAGAGACACCTCATAACTTCTTGAACTGGAATTTGGCCATTTCTAGCTGCAGAATTCCTCTTTCAGGGCATCCCTGCTAGGAGTGATGTGATACGGCCCAGCCAGAGAAGTACACAGCTTCCACTGCACCATGATTTCTAACGGCAGAATGGAAATGACTCCAGTGTCCGCAGGGCCATGGGTAAGTAGAAATGCATGCAACCTTCATAGGGTCCGTTCACGAGGTGCACACAGGAGCTCTCGTGAGACAAGACCTCAGTGAGAAACAGAAGCTTAGATACAAAGCAGCTTTCAGATAATTCTGGGGGTGGGAGTCACAGGAAGTCGATTCCTGATTCAGAGACAAGGGACTTGGTTACTCCCTCTAAGAGCAGGAGCAGGAGCTTCAGCGCCACAAGGACGGTACCAGCTCTCTGCATCTCAGGGAGTCCCAGGGCGCTGCGGCCAAGGGCCATCGTGGTGCCTACACACATGACAGATTGCATTACTCAGGGAACTCAGGGCTTGAAGATGTGGCCTAAATAACAAGGACAGATCCCAAAGCCAGAGTCCATTCAGGAGTGGCACTGCAGTGGGAACACGAATACCATGGTAAACTAGGAGCATATTTAAGGAGCAGGAGGCAAGGAGTTTTTAAAGGTAAAATGAGAAGGATTACACACATTATTTGAAACGATAATCCCTGGCTACAAGGATCAGTGACAGGAGTGGGACAGGCATTGTTGCCGATGTCCTTGCAGAAGTATTTTCTGTGCATGACTATGGTAGCCTCTGTGAAAGGCTGTAGCTGTGGCACAGTTTTCTGTGACGGTTACTGGTATCACACAGGCACAGGCAAGATCGCCTCCTCTGTACTGTCAGCCATGTCTGTTATTTTTCCCAGGATCTGACATGAGTGACTCCATTTGGATTCTGACAACTTTCACAGAGAATTTACCACATTTTGGGTAAACTTCAGCCCCCAAGGTTGCTTGCTGCAGACACAACCAGGAGATGTGGCGGGACAGAGGGGTCAGTACTTTACATTTTGGCCACAATGGGCAAAAATGTACGGGGACACACAGGGCCGGGGCAGATCGCCTCTCCTACACCCAGTGTAGCTCCTCCAAACTGCAAGAGTCTCAGGCCTTTGATGTTCCCCTGTGACCTTAGAGCCGAGGTCCACCCAGAACTGGAGAAGGGGTCTCATGTCAGCCTGGAATGTGTGGTCTGAGGATTCCCTGAAAGCAGCCCGGTCCATCCCCTGCATTTTGCAGATAGGGAAACTGAGGCCCAGAAAGGGACTTGCCCATGGCCAAGCAGAGATCGAGAAGGAGATCAGGACACTCTCATCCCCATCATAGTGGCTGACAGTGAGCAGACATCTGCGTTCCCTTGGGGGACCCTGCCACATGTATTAAGGTGTCCTTCCAGGCTAGCAGCCAAGTACAGTCCCACCTCTAGCCTCACCTGCAGGGAGGACAGGAGGCAGTGCTGCCTTTCCCACCCTCTGCTTGGCCAGGCGCCCAGAGGCCTCCTTATGGAGTAGGCAGCCAGCCAGCCAGCTGGCCCCCCTCTCAGCAGCATTACTGGGCTCTCTGTAAACCTAAGACCTTGAGGGGTCTTGTGGGAGAAATTAGGATGTCATCTTTTCAATTTAAATTTGACCTTCACTCAGAAACGGACAGCTGGGCACAGTGACACACCTGTAGTCCCAGCTACTGGGACTACAGGCAGGAGGCTGAGACAGAAGGATTACTCAAGCCCAGGAGTTTGAAGCCAGCCAGAGCAGAGAGACTCCATCTCGATTGAAAGAAGGGAGGAGAAAAAGGAACCTTTCATAGGCAAATAGCCTGATACATTTACTTAAACTGAGCCCAATCTTGTAAGGAGTTGTGGATTCTGACCCTTTCAGAGCCCACACTGGTCCACTGATGACTGTGGGCAGGTTCCACTTGGAAGCTGTGACCAACAGAGCCACTAGGGACATGGTGTCTTTGGCTGCACATGCATGTGCATTTCTGCAGGCACAGTCCTAGGAGTGGAAGTGCTCTCTCACAACCCCTTCATTCAGGGAAATGGAGTTTCCTGTGGATTGGCCCAGGGCTCCCCTATCTCTCCCTGCAGTGGGTATTGTGGGTTCTTGTTTTTAAGTGAATCTCGGTGGTCTCCAGACTTATCCTTTGTGCCCCGGGCTGGCTACAGCCTGCATCCCTGCACCAAGCAGCTCCGCGACCTCCGGGGGCAAAGCTGTTTCAGGCCTGGGCTTCAGGGTCCCTACCGGTGTTGGGGTGTCAGTTTCGGCCATTGCCTCGCCTGCCTGGCAGCCCTGAAAGGCGGTGCCCCGACTCCAGCTGGGAAATCCTGGGTCAGCGCAGAGCTGCCCGGCCTGGCCACGCGGACGCGGAGGGTGCGGGGCGTGCCAGCCCGGGCCCTCGAGCAGGACTGTCGAGGCCAGGCTCCGCAGGGGCGCTGGGTCGCGCGCGGATCCGGGTCCTTTCCGCAGGCCGAGCGGAGCTAGTCCCGGGTCTTGAGACCAGCCGCGCGCCTCAGCCAGGGAGAGGATCGGGTTCGAGGGCCTGGGGCGGGGTCGGGGCGCGTCCGGCCCGAAGGCGCCCCCTTCTGCGCAGCCCTGCAGGGAGTCTGCGTCCGCCCAGCTGCGGGGCGCCCCCAGTGGCTGGGCGCGGGAGGGCGGGTCCCTGAGACGGGGAGGGGGAGAGGGTGGAGGCCCCGCCCCCCCCGCGCCCCCCGGGCGGGATACTTGAACAGCGAGGCCCGGCCCAGCCGACCTCGGCGGTTCTCTGAACTCGGCACCCTGCGCCTTTGTCCCCTTCGCCGCCGCCGCCGCCGGCCCCATGGAGCGCGTGGGCCCGGCACTGCTGTCGCTTCTGCTGCTCTGCGGCCTGTCGCTGCTGGTGGCCCGAGGTAGGGCTTCCTCCCGGCGCGGGGTCCCCGGATCTCTGGGTGGCCGGGATCCCTTCTGGATCGACCACAATACCATGGGACACCCACTTCCCAAACATCCTCCAGGGGGCCTTCGCTCGGCCACCGGCCCACCCAGGCCCGGACGCGGACTCCCCCGGGTGAGGGAGGCGGGAGCGCTCTGCACTGGAAGTCCCCGGGTCTTTTCTCCTTCTGCCCCCACCCTTGTCCCCACGTGGGCCCTTGTACCCCTCTTGCTGATGAGCAAGCTGAGGCGGGAGAGTGGGGACAGTAGTTTGTCCAGTCATAGGGTAGGGGGTGGACTGGAAGAAATGGGGTGATAGCTGAGGGGTGCAGTGTGGGGCTGGGACCTAGCCACCTCCTCCTTGCCTTCTGGGATGCAGGGCCCAGGACGGTGTTTCTGACAGGCTCCATGTCCAGCGGGGACAGGGAACAGGCCACTTCCAAATCCACCACCCTGTGGCAAGGGGGACGAGCTGTTCTCTAGCAGATCTATGGGCCAGAGCCCCTCCCAGCCCAGGAGCCCCCCGGATCATGGCCACCCAGGCAGTGCCCTTCTCCTCCCTAATCATCTAGGCCTGACTGGGGTGGGGGTTGGGATGGCCACCCGCTGTGGGTCACAGCAGGGGGGGGCAGTAGAGCCAGGACCTCTGACCTCTCTGCTGACCCCTGGCTTCTCAGGGCCCTTAGCCAGGCCTGACCCTCCGGGAGTCTTTTTTTCTCCAGGGCCTCAGGTCCAGACCACTTTAGTTTCTCGAGTTCTTTATCCCTGGTTTGGTGTAGTTTCTTTTGAGTTCTCTGATGACCACCCTCCTCCTTAGTCAAAAAGTCACTTGACCAGCTAAGGCCTGCAGGGATTTAAGGAGAGGCTGCAGGGTCGGGGAGGGAGAGGCCTTGCAGAAACTTCCTGCTCTTTGCTGCGGCCCATCTCCCCCGCCGAGGGGCTTGGGTTGTTCGGGCACTGGCTCCCTCCTGGGCATGTCCTGGGTCCCTCCTCTGGCAAGGGGAGGCACAGGGCTCAGTGTGGGCACCGTGAGCCATGCCAGTCCCTGGGAGATCTCGGGGGTTCTTGGAGGAGGTGGTGTTTGGCCAGGAGCTTGCAAGGGGGCATGGGCAGAAGGGGATTCCAGTCGGGGGCAGGCAGGGTGAAACCGAGGGGCCTTGAGCTGGGGGACAGGGATATGCAGGGCTCGGAAACGGAAGAGACCTTGGAGACCCTGCCTTTTACGGGAACAGGTCCAGAGAGAGGGCGTCGTTCGGCTCTTGGCGGACCAGGTTGCCCCAAGTCCCCCACCGCTCTTCTTTCCAGTCTGGAGTTGGAGAAAAGTTATTCCCTGTGCATATTTGACTTTGCGTGTGCAGCCCGGGCTTGCCAGGCTGGAGCAGCTCACTGCTTGAGCCGGGAGGGTTTGGAGAGCCCCTTTCCTGCACTGTGATAAAGGAGCCACATCTGCAGCCTGCAGCCCTCTAAGGCTGTGGCTTCTATGACTCCTGGGTCCCCAAGAACTGTGAGGTCCACGAGGGAGGCTGTAGTTTTCAGTAGCAAGAGAAAAGGCAGTCAGGGAGGGGGCCCTTTGGCTGATCTGCCACAACTCATTTGGCAACAGGCCGCGTGGCCACTGACACAGAGAAGGATCCAGCTCTTTCTTGCTGAGGCAGAGATCATCTAGCGCCTGCCTTGTGTCTGTCTGTCCTGTTGGGCTTTGCCGAGGGTGGGCGGGGAAAGAGTGGAGGCTGGTGTTGGAGAGAAGGTTGTGTTTCTCCAAGGCTTTCTTGGCCTCTGGCTCTGGCGGCGGGGCGACGGGCAGAGTTCCCCACTGATTAAAAGAAAGCCGGGTTGGGAGGGAGAACAAAGGGGAGAGAGGACTTGGCTTAGGAACATGTGGCCCGCGCCGCTCCGGGAAGTTTCTCAGTTGGGAGGTGGGGCTGGGCGCAGGAGGAAGGAAGGGATACCCTGGGGGAGACTCTGGGGCCTGTCCCGCGTGTGTACAGGGGAAGCTCCCAGCTCCAGGTGTGTGCCCCTCCCCCGCTGGGCTCTAGGAGCTGGAGGGGGGCGTGCTGATTGCAGGGTGCGCGGGCCCCTGGGAGTGGAAACCAGTTCTCCCATCCTCCTCCTACAAAAAGCCCTCAGGATGCAGGCAGGACAGTCTGGTGGTTTTCTCAGTTGCTAAATGGAGATAACAAAAGCCCACTTCTTGAGTCACCTTGAGGTTTATGCTAGGACTGGCTGCCATGGTAGCTGTTATCACTAGCTATGATTTGTGTTGTCCCCTTTCCTCCTAGTGTCATTTTCCCCACAACTGCTCTACTATTTATTTATCTGTTTGTTTTGAGCTGCTATCTTGCTAGGTAGTTTAGGCTGGAATGAACTGAGTATGTGGCCTTAAATTTGCAGCTGTCCACTCTCGGCCTCCCAAATGCTAGGATTACAGGCTTATGCCACCTCTTCTAATACTGAATTTCCTAGCCTTGGGCCTTGAAGGAGGCTCTGCAGGGTCACACAAACCATTCACTCATTCCTTAAATACCTGCCAGGGGATACAGCTGGGAAGGAGAGAAATCCGGTCCTTTGTCTCCACGTGACTCACCCCCACCCCCAGAGCATGCACTAGGAACTTGCTAGAGTTCTGTGCCCTCCTCATGACTGGGGGAGACCCTTGCCTGAGACTTCCTGAGGGCTGGGGCTGGGAGCAAGGGGCACAGGGGCAGGCATCTGTGCGGGTGAACTTCTACGCTGATGGTTCTAACGTTGCATTTTGGACAATAGAAGATTTTCCTTTTGCAAGATATCAAGCCATAACAATTTGATGTATACTTCTGGCTTCTTTGATCTTAGCGGTGGCCACGTAACCAAGCAGGATTGGAGGGGCCACCTCTGTTCCTAACTTTCCAGGACCGGAGACCCTCAGGCTAGAGGGCAGCTGGAGGGGAGGTTGAGGTTAGGTATCTTCCCAGCTCATCCCACTGGAGGCTGGCTGGGGCAGGAGGTCCAGCCTGGGAAGCCAGATACATGTTTGTGATACATAATGGTGATGTTCTTTGTGGGGAGTGAGTTCATGTGCAGGACACATCTTAATTCTTTTCTTGCCCCCTTTCCCTTTCTCCCCTCCCTCCATCCCACGGTCCTCTTCCCTTTTGCAAGAGCTCTATCTATCTTCCTGTTTGCTATTGTCTATTATTTTGCTCTTTATTTCTACTTTGGGTTTCTCATACAGGACAAACCATGCGATATTTAAGCTGTGAGTCTGATTTATCTCTCTTAACATGGTGCTCTCCAGGTGCATCTGTTTTCCTACAAATGACTCAAATTTATTTTTCTTATAGTAGATTAGCATTCCATTGTGTGTAAACATCACTGTGGAAATCAGTATGGAGATTTTGAAAAAAACTAAAAGAAATTCCCTTCTGGGTAATTATTGTTCCCGTCGTATGTGGTCAGTAACTCACAGACCCCTCTCAACGGCCCTATGAAGTAGGTGACCCAGTATTTTCCCTGAACCTCTTTTGCCTTTTGCCTTTTGTTACCTGTGGAACGGAAAGAGACTATGTTTTGCTCCCTACAAGTCTTGCTTTAAATCCTCCCAGGGCCAGCTCACTTTGGTTCCTGGGGCCAGTGCCACCCGAGGCTGGAGGGTGGGCACTGGGCATCTGCCCCAGGATCCTCTCCCCACACAGCTTGGAGAGTCCAACCCCTTCTCACCCCCAGCCCTGCTGCACCCAAGTAACCTCTGCACTCTCACACTGATGGCTCAGAGGAGACCCTCTTTGTCCTCACTGTCCAGGGGTGACAGGGAGGCAGGGAGTGTGTCCCAGCACACAGCTGCCCAGGGTGCCAGGCAGCCTGGCTGCAGCATCACACTGCTGACCAGGTCCCTGCAGCCTTTGTGGAGTCCTCAAGTCAGCTTGGGGGAATGTAGTTTCCTTCAGAGCTTTATGGAGAGCCAGGGCTGGGTTTGTGTTCCTCTGCTATGTTTGCGGGGCCTCAGGCCACTTCCTGGATCTCACCTCAGCCTCATGAAGCAGCTAGGATCACATGATGTCATCTGTTCATTCATTCACAGACACTGATTCAGTGTCGGTTGGTGCAGCATGGGGAAGAGTATGGAATGAGACTCGGCCTGTCCCCTTCCTCCTGGTACTAGTAACAGGAGTAGTCATTTTGTGCTTAGTGCTGGGAGTTCAGGAAAGAGATCATGCAAGAAATGAAACAGATCTGCCCTGCAGGTGTGCGTGTTCCTGAGGACTACCTGGAGGAAGGGGCCATTGAGCTGGTATTGCAGGAATCCCTAGCCTTGGAAGAGGAGGGGACCCAGGACCACCTGGCCTTCTGAGCCCCAGCTTCCCAGAGCCATGTGCAGAGGATGCCTGCCAGGTGCCTGAGAGGTGAAGGCAGCAACCAGCCAGGAGTGCTCCTGCCCTAGGCACTCAAGGGCCGGGCACCTGGCACACTGTCCCTGCCAATGTCACTGGTTTGTGGGTGGCCCGAGCTATGGGTCACCAGGCTGTGCACAGTGGCTCTTCCCTGTCCCCTGGCCTCCTTGAGGTCCTCCGATCTGAACAGGCACACGTGGGCATGTGCTTTATGGTGACCTCTGCGTCCAGAGACCGAGAGGGGTGCACTGGCTGTCACTGGTGCTGTCTGCTTCCACTTCCAGCAGGAAGAGTGACATAAGAGTGGAGGGAGACCTGGCTTCTTCCCACGTGGAGGGCGATGC